GTGACGTCATCAGGGGCTGGTCACCCGTGCATGATACACCCAGACATGGTTGCGCAAGCCATTCAGGCACCGGGTGTTGCCACAAATATATTTTCAATTATTTGTTCTATGTATTTCCAATGTGGTTTTATTTGTTTTTTATCGTATATGATGCATATTTGTGTCCTTTACAATATATATGCAGTAGAGCATTCATAATGTTCCATGGAACTGTCATACATGTGTCAGTAATGTGTCTACAATAAATGTTTGTCGCAATATTACTTGTTAAAAATTCACTAAAATTACAATTTGTACAGTTTCACACACTATTTACACAGTAACACACTTTATTACACACTTAGTACAGTGGTACCTCGGAATACGAGTGTCCCTGTATACGAGTTTTTCGGAATACGAGCAGGATTTGCTCGGAAAATTTGCCTCGGTAGGCAAGGGTTGCTTTGGAACACGAGGGTGTTGAAACATGTACAGGCCGACTAGAGCGTGGTGACATGGCGATCGCGCCTCAGTTTACCAGTACCTTCCACCCAGTGACTATCCTGCCTGAATTCTCCACAAGGATTTATGTTTATTTTAGATTTATGAACAGCCACTAACACTGTTCATCTATGCTACTTGTATCAGATGCATCATCACTGAACGCAGAAAACGATTCATCTTTGTATCGTCTATATAAATTGGAGATAGCATAGATGGGCAAGGGTGGCGCTCAGAGCTACAACTGGATACGCTCGCTGTATTGTCCTCAGAGGTGTCGTATCACTTGCATCTGTCCTTTGTGTTAGGTCCTTATTGCGCCTAGCTTCACCAATATTATGTCCCTTATGTAATTCAAAGAATAAGGTTTGAATTTCACCGACCGAGTGCGATCTTTCAACACTGCGTCGGACAGGTGTTTGGGAGCCAGAGGCGCATGCGCCACCCATGGTTGCTCACTCAACACTAACCCAGCCAGCAGCCCTAGGGCATTCTAGGATTTTTTCAAAGATGGCTGCCTCTCATCGTGGCTGCCGTTCAATGATGGCTGGTCCTAAGAGCCCATTTTTATGCAATTATTTATTCCTATTTGGTCCTAAGATTTATTAATCGCATTGGACACTTGGATTTATTAATCGCAACGTTAGTAACAAGACACCTGGTGTGGTTCTCAAGCTATATCTTGCTCTAGTTAGGCCCCATTTAGATTATGCAGCTCAGTTTTGGTCGCCATATTATAGAATGGATATAAATTCACTTGAACGTGTCTAGCGTAGGATGACTAAGTTAATTCCCCAAATTAGAAATCTTTCATATGAAGAAAGATTAACAAAGCTTAAGTTGCATTCACTGGAAAGGCGAAGAGTTAGGGGTGACATGATAGAGGTTTACAAGTGGGTGAATGGACATAACAAAGGGGATATTAATAGGGTATTAAAAGTATCAACACAAGACAGAACACGAAACAATGGGTATAAATTGGATAAGTTTAGATTTAGGAAAGACTTGGGTAAATACTGGTTCAGTAACAGGGTTGTTGATTTGTGGAACCAATTACCGCGTAACGTGCTGGAGGTGGGGTCCCTCGATTGTTTCAAGCGCGGGTTGGACAAGTATATGAGTGGGATTGGGTGGTTATAAATAGGAGCTGCCTCGTATGGGCCAATAGGCTTTCTGCAGTTGCCTTTGTTCTTATGTTCTTATGTTCTTATTTTGTACACAACCAACCACGCACACGTTTAGAATGGGTACGAAAAAATCAAAAAGAGTTTTCTCGGTTGGCGCAGTTTCCCACCGACCGAGAATACTCGGTTGGTGCAGTTAAGTGTTTAAGTCTAGCCAGCCTATGGTCTCCCCATGATGTTCCCTCATCCTGAAGTCTCTTCTTTGTCCTGACTCCTACAGTTGTCCCTCCTCCCTGGTAGGTTTCCATATGTTTCTTCCTTCTCCGTGGGTAGTTAGCTAAAGTGGCCACAAGGGGGTATCTCCAAAAAACCATCATTGAATGTGAGCCCTGGTGGCTTCCAGACAATCCCTTTTCTTCCAGGTAGTTGGGTGGATCTTCTTTGTGCATCTGCTCCAGAACTGACATCTCAGACCCCAGGATATGGAGAGGCCCACCGCTTTTCCCCAAATGAGTGGCAAGATGGGGCAAATAAATTCACACTAGTTAGGCTAGGGAGCAGTGATCACTAGGGAGCAGTGATTGCTAGGGAGCAGTGATCACAAAGAAATCAGATTTAGCATAGAATGGAATAGACCAGTAGGAGAAAATTCTGTTAAAGTGCCAGATTTTCGAAAAGCTGATTTTAATAGCCTAAGAAATTTTTTGGGTCAAATTGATTGGAAAGTCTTGGGTATGGGGTGTGGGCCGGTCTTGGAGGGAGACATGAACCCAGCGATAGGTGACTTAAATGGCGATTTCGATGTGGATTCAATATATAACTTATTTAAGAATATTCTAAACAAAGCACAGGAACGTAGTATACCATACAAATTGAATAGATCGAATACTAATGACCCAAAGTGGATAACAAAGAATTTGAAGAACCTTATAGGTAAAAAGAGAGCTTGGTACAAAAGGATTAAAAATGGGGAGGTCACTTTAGAACAGGAATTCATACAACTGGTTAGAAATGTTAAAAAAGAGATAAGGAAAGCAAAAAGAAACTATGAAGTTCGCATAGCAGGGCAAGCAAAGACAAATCCTAAAGGGTTTTTTCAGTTATATCGTACTAAGACTAGGGAAAGGATAGGTCCATTAAAAACTGAGACAGGTCAAATAACAGATAGTGATGAAGAGATGAGTAGTATTTTTAATAAATATTTTGTATCTGTATTTACTAAAGAGGAACTTAACAATATGCCTTCAGCCGAACAAGTCTATGTGGGTGGGGACGAGGACAGGTTGACGAGTTTAGCAGTTACCAGGGAGGATGTTCTTAAACAAATAGTAAAACTCAAACCAAACAAATCCCCAGGGCCGGATGAAGTGTTTGCCAGGGTGCTTAAAGAATGCAAAGAGGAGCTTTGTGACCCACTGTCAACCATATTTAATAAATCAATAGAGTCAGGCAGAGTGCCAGAGTTTTGGAAAGTTGCTAATGTGATACCAGTTTTTAAGAAAGGAGATAGATCACTTGCGTCTAACTATCGACCAATTAGCCTAACGTCTATTGTGGGAAAGTTACTCGAATCTATAATAGCAAATAAAATTCGTCTTCATCTTGAAAAACATAAATTAATAATTGAGTCGCAACATGGTTTTATAAATGGCCGTTCATGTTTAACAAATTTGTTATCTTTTTATTCTAGCATTGTTGAGGCAGTTGATAGTGGTAAGGATTGCGATGTTGTATACCTTGACTTTAGCAAAGCTTTTGATACAGTGCCACATGAAAGACTGATTAAAAAGATAGAGTCTCATGGTATTGGGGGTGCTATATTAAGCTGGATTAGGGCATGGCTATACCAAAGGAAACAGAGAGTTAGTATAAATGGAATCAAGTCAGAGTGGGAAAATGTTGTAAGTGGAGTGCCTCAAGGCTCTGTCCTGGGACCTCTGTTGTTTATAATATATATAAATGATTTAGATTCAGGTTTGAGTAGCAACATTTGCAAATTTGCCGATGATACGAAAATCGGTAGGGAAATTAATTCGGAGGAGGACTCACTATCACTTCAAGTTGATCTAGATAGGGTTTTGAAATGGTCAAAGGATTGGCAGATGCAGTTTAATGCTGATAAATGTAAAGTTCTGAGGTTAGGTAATGATGATAGAGTTACAAGATACGAGCTAGATGGTGTTGTGATTGCGAAGTCGGATTGCGAAAGGGATCTGGGAGTTATGATTAGTAAGAATTTAAAACAAAAGGATCAATGCATAAATGTTCGTAATAAGGCAAATCGGACACTTGGATTTATTAATCGCAGCGTTAGTAACAAGACACCTGGTGTGGTTCTCAAGCTATATCTTGCTCTAGTTAGGCCCCATTTAGATTATGCAGTTCAGTTTTGGTCGCCATATTATAGAATGGATATAAATTCACTTGAACGTGTCCAGCGTAGGATGACTAAGTTAATTCCCCAAATTAGAAATCTTTCATATGAAGAAAGATTAACAAAGCTTAAGTTGCATTCACTGGAAAGGCGAAGAGTTAGGGGTGACATGATAGAGGTTTACAAGTGGATGAATGGACATAACCGGGGGGATATTAATAGGGTATTAAAAGTATCAACACAGGACAGAACACGAAACAATGGGTATAAATTGGATAAGTTTAGATTTAGGAAAGACTTGGGTAAATACTGGTTCAGTAACAGGGTTGTTGATTTGTGGAACCAATTGCCGCGTAACATTGTGGAGGTGGGGTCCCTCGATTGTTTCAAGCACGGGTTGGACAAGTATATGAGTGGGATTGGGTGGTTATAGAATAGGAGCTGCCTCGTATGGGCCAATAGGCCTTCTGCAGTTACCTTTGTTCTTATGTTCTTATGTTCTTATGAGAGATTTAATCATTGTTTCCATAATTGGGGAAGTTCATTATGTAGGTTGTGAGACTTTAGTCTCCATTGAACCAAGCAATGGTTTGTTTTGAATTGCTGACTTTCTGGATCCCTTCTCCAGTGAGATGGCAAAATGTCACTGGTCCTTGTTCCTCTGTGAGGGGACCAGGTTCTGGCTCTGGTCCCTGGTCAGCCTAAGAACTCCACTGCTGATGAGACTTGGTTGATTGGAACCATCTCAGTGTTTATCTTCAGGGATCCAGATGACGCTCACCCAGAAATTGGCATTTTATTAAATTCAGCACTGGTTATTTGGAGGGTTTTTGTTATATTATCCATTCCACACCCCACTCACACATAGTAGGTAAGTCACACTGTATATGTCCATCTGTCTGTCTACATGTATATGCATGCATGTATTTGTCTTATTATGTTATTCTGTCTATAAATAAGTAAGACAAAATAATTATAACATCTGTTATTTTGACATATAATATTTTCTTTTCTTTTTAAAGTCGCTGGATTCGCCTACTGTTTGGACGGGAATTTCCTCTACAAGATCTATTAATGGTGTGGGATGCAATTTTTTCTGACATCCAGTCAACATTTCCTCTGGTGGATTTCCTAACTGTTGCCATGCTGTCATTCATCAGAGAACCATGTAAGTACTTGTTCTTCTGCATACCTAAGTGGTTACCAACTGATAATAAGATGTGTTCTCTGTGGAGAGCCCTGTGAGCTTCCTGAAATTAGTTTACTGATTAAGTGCAACACTACTTGGAGTCATCAGTCGCAGAGTTCTTTTATGCCTACCAGGGACCATACCCAGAATCTCCCCCCCCCCCCCCCCCCCCCAACAGAGGCACAGTGAACAGTGGCTCATGAACACTTTAACCACCGGACTGCGCCACCCGACAATGCTTGTGACAGGCAAACAGCAGGCTGAGAAAATATAATTTTAAAATTTTGTACCATTCAAAACATGCGCGTGGGTAGGTTGGATACGAAAAGGACTCCCAGGACCTCCTGTGAGAGGCAGCCATCTTGAAAAACATTCCCAGAATTCCCTAGGGCTGGTGGCTGGCTCAATTCTGAATGAGCAACCATGCATGGCGCATGCGCTTCTGGCTCCAAATCCCCTGTCGGATGCAATGTTGAAAGATTGCTCTCTGTCAGTGAAATCCAGACCTTATTGTTTGAAGAACATAAGGGTCAAAATATTGATGAAGCGAGGCACAATAAGGACCTAACACAAGGGTCAGATACAAGTGATACAGCACCAATGAGGACGATACAGCAAGCGTATCCAGTAGTGGTTGAGCACCACCCATGACCACCCATGTCATCTTCAAGTTTTATAGATGATGCTAAAGATGAATCATTTTTCTGGATCCAGTGATGATGCATCTAATACAAGTAGCATAGATGAATAGAGTATTAGCGGCACTTATTTTGCCACTAACAGTTATTTTGTAACGTACAAACTACAATTTGATGATTCTCATGTTGGTGTTTCACCCACTTTTCCATATACAGGTGGGGATATAAGTGATACCAGGTCAGATATGAGATACCAAGACAGAATTTTGTCATTGAATTTTTTCTAGATCTTTTCAATAATACCTTGATCTTTTCAATCCTACCTTACAAAGTGATTTTTTCAATTCTACCTTACAAAGTGATCTTTTCAAGACTTCCTTACAAATTGATCTTTTCCTATAAAGATTTCAAGACTACCTTACACTTCACAAGCGTGGCTACATACCACCTACTGGTACTAAAGCCAAGGGTGTACATGAGTGCATTGTTTGCAAGCACACAGAATGATGAAACAGGAAGTGAAAATCTGCCTTGTGTATCATCTTGAGGTTATCTTGAGATAGTTTTGGGGCTGAACCCTTAAATGGCCCATGGCTATATACCATTCGACACCCACAGGCGCATACAAAAAAAAAAAAAAATCTTTTTCTTCTTAACCTGTTAATTTGTGTTCACTGATCATGGTAAAAATAATAAAAAAACGTAAGTGGCATATATTGCTCGCTATAGGGTGGGGAAGTCTGGCAAAAAAACAGGCGCTGACTCAGAGTGCGTCCCAGGCGGTCTGTTGCTCGCCAGCTGTCAGGCCGGAGTTGCCACAAAGAAATAATTACCTAATTATTTCAATGTCTCTAATTGATTTTTCGTAGTTTTTTGCTGTAATATTATTCAATAGTGTGTAGTGTGATATATTTATATAATAAAATGAGTGAATCATCGCTGTACTCAAAAAATATGGTGTGCATATTGTTGATTCAATTATGTTCATCAAACAGTGAACAAATACTTTGTCGGTTATTACACTATATACACAGGTTATATATAAGTCTCTGCATGTTTTGTTCACCATAACGAACCACTAAGTTGCTATTATGAGTCAAAAAGTAACGAGGAGTGACCGCCACACTCCAGCCAGCCACTCACTCCTTCCCTCAACACCTCACTCGCCCACATTCTCCTCCCACCATACTTTTTTGCTTTTCTTCACTATATACAGACGTTATATATAAGTATCTTCATTCATGTTCACCATAACAAACCACTAAGTTGGCATGCTGAGTGGCAGTGCCAGTGGCAGCCCACCACTGGCTGCTACTTCCTCCCTCCCTCAAGTCACCTGACTCACCCACATTCTCCTCCCACAATACTGTTTTTGGTTTTATTCACTATATACAGACGCTATATATAAGTATCTACATTCGTGTTCACCATAACGAACCACTAAGTTGGTATGCTGAGTGGCAGTGGCAGCCCGCCACTGGCTGCCACTCCCTCCCTCACCTCACCTGACTTGCCACCATTCTCCTCCCACCATACTGTTTTTGCTTTTATATACAGACATTATATATAAGTATTTACATGTTTTGTTCACTATAACTGTACATCTAAGCTTGTATGGTGAGTAAAGGCACAAAGACGTAGGACCTCACACAGTCAGCTGGTGGCTGCCGCCCTCAAGGCCAGACGCACTAATATTTCTCCTCCAACAATACTGTTTGTGGTGTTATTACGCTATATACACACATTATATATAAATATCTACCTGTTTTATTCACCATACTTGTACAAGTAAACTGGTATGGTGCCCAAAGACCATTGTGGTCACCAGTAAACAACATGATAAGTCGTGCAGGCGACGCACCTCCCTCACCAAAATAGCGGCTCCCATCCTACTCCTCTTGCTGTTTATACCCTCTATATACACGTTATATATAAGTATCTACATTTGTGTTCACCATAGCGAACTACTAAGCTGGTATGCTGAGTGCAGTCAATAAATGGTCGCCACACACAGTCAGAAGATAACGCCACTACCCTCCCCTCCCACAGCATTACTCCTCCCAACATGGAGCACAGTGCTAAATATGACCATAATCATGCTATTATCAGAACCCTGGTCAGTTTTATCACAGTCAGGGGTCTTCTGTAATAATATCATCGCTACATAATAGCATGAACAAGTATATTATGGCATTTTTAGGCGATGCTGTGGTCACAAGCTGAACAGCAGTGCTGTGAGCTCATGCTGCGTGCGTCAGGCTTGGTTGCTCACTCAATACTGAGGCCCCTAACACCCGGGAATTTAGCCCACAATTTAAAAAAAAAATGGCGTCTGTTTACAAGAGCCCTGATGAAGGTGTGGTGAAGCTCGTGTATCTGCGGGCCGTTTATATCTTGCGTAGTACTCCAAAGCATCATATGATGCGATGCGCAATTTAAGGGTTAATGTCCCCCGGCCCGATCCTCAACTAGGCCTCCTTTTTGTTACTCACCCCCCAGGCAGCAGCCTGTAGCAGCTGTCTAATTTCCAGGTACCTATATTCTGCTAGGTGAATAGGGCATTAGGGTGAAAGAAACTGCCTATTTTTGTTTCCGCCTCCACTGGGATCGAACCCGGAACCTCAGGACTACGAATCCGAAGCGCTGTCCACTCAGCTGTTGGGCACCCTGAAATGGACTGCTTCTTTGATTATCACTCACTTCTGAAGTACTGAGTGCGTGACTGTATAGTGTGTGAAAGTGTACGTATTCTAAATATATTGAATATTGACAGGTAACATTGCCCAATAAACATTTATTGTGGACACATTAGTGATACATGTATCACAGTTCCATGGAACATTATGAACGTTCTACTGTATACATATTGTAAAGGACACAATGTGCATCATATACAATAAAAAACCAGCTTTGAATGTAATGAAACCCCTTTTTCTGGGTGAGCCCCGGAGGCTCCCTGGAGCTTATTGGGCTAATGTATGTTATATTAGACCAGGACATTAGCTAAGGAGTTCAGACCTACCAGGGACCAGTGCCAGAACCTGGCCCCTTCAGAGAGGTTTCAGGGAGCAATGACCCTGGAAAACCCCCTTGTGGATGGGGTTTTCCTTATCTGCCATCGACCGGGGTTAGGCACCCAGAAAGGTAGTCTTAACAAAACAAACCCCACATGGTAAAAATCTAAAACAAAAAAACGAACAGAGAGGTAGAAACTCCGTACAATCCCAGGGAAACAAGCAAACATCACATTTTACTGCCGTGCCGATCGTCCGCACAGCTCTCCCCGCACCGAGAGGGGGAAGGGGAACTCCCGGACTTACCGCACCGGCTGCCTAACTTCAATTCGGAAGCTAAGCTTCAACCAACGCGAAAAACCGCCGACCGGTGGGAGGGAGGGTTGCCAGGGAGCCTCTGGGGCTCACCCAGAAAATGGCGTTTCATTACATTCAACGCTGGTTTTCTGTGGGGAGCCCCTACGGCTCCCTGGAGCTTCATACCCAAAGAGAAGGAAAAGAAAGGGCTAACCCTGGAGGCAGCCGCCACAAACTCCGCAACGCAAAGCCGAAACAACAGGCTGCAACCTGCGACCCAAGGCAACAAGAATGCACAGGAGCAGATGCACTTAAAGAATGGGCGGCCAAGAACCTGTGCGACCCTCAAATCCATGCGCCCAAAATGAGCCCTAGATGTCACCAACACAGCAGCAAAAGCTGCAAACGTCTGAACAGCACGGGCGCAAGGACAGACCGCAGGCTGGAAGACTGAAAAACTCTGCGGACGACCTGGGAGACCTGAGCCCCAAAACAGGGAACGAGGGGAACCGGATCAAGCCAAAGTGCATCCCCAGACACGGTACACAGGTAACGGCAAAAAGTGCAACCGGGCAACACAGGACGCACCCCAGGCCAAACCAATCAAGCATCAATAACACAAGAACCCCTCCGGAAAGCAGCCGTCTCGACCGTCGCCCAGACGGAAAAAGGCTGCAAACGTACAAACCTACCACCAGTAACAAAGAGCAGAAACCTGAATTGAAGGGGCTACCACAAACTAAGGAGAAGATAAGAAGGCACCCTGATCAAGGACCAGGACGGCTCAGGTGATGCATGAGCAGGCTGGAGGTGAAACAAAACACGAGAAAGCGTACGAAACGGGGCAGATGTGACGTTCACCCCGAACGCAAGCCGGAGCGGCTCCGCCAGCGCCACACAAAGCGAGGCGACAGTAAGAAACATCAAATAACTGTAGTCCTGAAAACCCAAAAAAGGACAAGACAACCCGATGCGAAAAAGAAGACAACCTACGAAGATAAAAAAAAGTGCATAGAAACACCAGGGACGT